AGACCAGGGACACCCAAGCAAAGCCTGGGCGGCTTTGCTCGTTTGCCCGGGAGCAAAGCCTCCCAGGTGGCGGGACCCCCGCCGCCTGGGCGGCTTTGCTCCTGTCCCCCTGGTCTGCTGGGGGGGTCCAGCGGCTTTGCTGGACTCCCCCAGAAGACCAGGGAGACCGGGAGAAGCTTTTCTCGCCCCGGAGGACACGGGTGGCGACCCGCCGCCCGTGAGCTCCGGGGCGAGAAAAGCCCCGTTCGTAAGTGCGGATCCAACATAAGTCGGATCCGCGTAAGTCGGGGACTGCCTGTATACAGCATTTTATCTGACCGAAGACAACATACAGAGTTTAGGCTGAAATTTAACTTTGATTTGAAAGTTCTACTCAGTCAATCTCAACAGTTCATGTCTTTCACTTCCTTTCTTCTTCCTCTTCGGTTTTCATTTCATGGAAGTTGTTAACAGAATGGCAATCCTGTACTATAGCATTCTCATTTTAAAACTCATGCTTTAGGTCCACTAAGTGGGTAACTGTTTAAAATTAGAGACAGACTTTGTTTATAGTTCAAAAAGGCTGAAGAGAGGTCTGAATCAATACTATATAGGAACTTATTGCGTAGCTAGGCACATTAGATATTTAAACCTCATGTGACATACACTTTAAAGACACTATTACGTTTACAGTGGGGGGGAAAAAAGCAGAACATATTTGATTAGAAAAACAAATCAAATGATCTAGCCTTTGCATAATATCAAAGGAGAATCCAAATAGTAAACAGATTATTTTTGGTGTTGCCTGTGACATTTGTCTAACAAACATATAAAAAACAAAGAAATAGACAAACAAAAACCCAAACACCAACAGCGTTTTAGGTGTTTAACCTTATCGGAAGCCACCTTTTCTTTGAAAGACCTACTATTTAGAATTAATCTTCATTAATTATTCCTCTTTGCTACCGCTTTTTGTTACTTTCTATTTGAGAAGCCATCTTACTGAGTTACAAGTAGTAATCCTGGTATAGATACAAAATTTGTATCTGTATTCAATCCATGATCTGCAAATTTAGTCTGTGGATACTGATTTGCAAGTCTCTAATTGCAAGCAACACATTTCCTGCGTATAAAATGTTAAAGTCCGACAACCTCTAATACCAATTAATAGAGTTTATATTTTACCACAGAAGAGGGGAGACTACACAAAGTGTAGCACTTTAAAAGAGCAATTTAAAATAAACAGCTATTATTGTGAATGTATTATTCAGTGTAATGTATAGGTTAGTAACTAATATTCTTAGACTGGAGATATTGATGTACAAAATGTATTTGGGCTCCCCAAGTTGGGGGAATGAATCTAAAGATCTATATCAGAAAATGTTCTGTGGGAATACCAATCCAGGTGACTCTGCTGATTTCAGATGTGGACTGTTTCATATAATGAAAAGAGATCTATCAACCATCTCAGAAATAATAGTTTTCTGGCTTAGTATTTTGCAGAAATTCTTCAAAACATTGCTTGCTAGCCATGATACTTGATTTTGTTGTGCCCACTTAGTTTCCCATCTTATTTGAAAATGCCAAGATAACAGACATCTTTCTGCTCATAGAAACATTTGATCATAATGTGTGTGTTTGCTGTGACATCAGCTATCAGTAAGGAAAATAACATGATATAACTGCAAACATTTGAAGCATATGTAACAAAGAGTTACTGCAAGAAAAAAAATCACAGTGGGAAGAAGCTGTTGAAATTAGCAGATTGAGGAAAGCACTGTCATTTGCAATTTTCTAAAACCGGAGAAAGTACTACAAAATGTATGTCAAGTAACAGTCCTGATTTCCTTGGGGCATGAGGTGTTTTCTATGTAAAAATATTGTAATACTTTAGGTTGGTATTGTGTTTCCGTATAATATTTAGAAGTTATGTGCCATGTATTTTATTGGATTTTATTTTAAAAGCATTTCTAATAAAAGAAATGTTTGCACTAGTAAATGTGATCATGTTCTCTTCTTAGATTCTAACATTTGAGACTAAGAATCCAACGGAACTAGCTGAGCGTTTGCGTTCTGTTTGCGGAAACCAGAGCAATGCGTATGCCCGCCTGCTTGAATACCGTTTAAATGCTTTGCGTGGACTCTGGAATGCCCAGCGCCAGCTAGCCTTGGAAGAACAACATGAACGGGAGAATTCTGGGGATGAAGAAACATTGGCCTTGCTCAAGCGTCAGGGACTGTTACAGCAACCTGAGCAGGCACCATTTACTTCACGTATGGGGCTTCTGTTGGTCTTTCCTCTTATTCAGTCTCAAAGTAGAACAGATCCCTCTCTCTGTAACATAACTGCTGAGGTACTATTGAATTGCCTTCGTGATTGCCAGCCTTTGAGTTTGACTAAAGAACCAGCTGACTGTCTTAATGGAATTGAATCTTTGCTCTGCTCCTGGTTAGAGGAAACGTCTGCCTCAGGCCAACAGATTCCATATAAGCAAAAAGAGAATGCTGCTGCTGCCCTTGTCGCCTTGGCCTGTGCAAGGTAAGAAGAGTCTATATCAGGCATTTGTCATAGTTAGTGGCAATGTGTTTGTGTTAAAGAATGCCAGAAATTATAATGTGATGTTGCTATGGAAAAGATTTTCATTATACAATACCATTAGTCTCTCTTTATATTAAAAACTGGTTGGAAAAGGTGAAACCAATATGCGAAATATAAATACTTTGTTCGTGTGGAAGTGGAAAGACTTAGGTTAAGACTCATGTGCATGTGGTTTCCTGTACTGTGTTGAACCTGTCTATAACGATGGTCTGCAGAGGATACTAAACATTCTCTTCATCATCTTTCTTTGAGTAAATGGGGAAGAGTTCTGACTTCTCCCTGTGCTCTGTGTCCCTGATCCTGCAGCTTATTTCTCCTCAGAGGCTTACATGGAGAATGATGTACTTCTGTCTGTCATCAGTTGCAGGAAGTGCTTTATATTTAGTTGCCAATGTATATACCTTTCAAATTTCCTATGCTCTGGATGACTGCCTTCTACATACCACACCACAGAAACACTAACCCAGGAGCCCACAAACCTCAATCCCTGCCACAAACCCCATTGCCAACTCTGTTTGCATAGCTATTCAGGTGACATGATCATAGGACCGAACCACAACAGTCAATTTTTCAGGGGCTCATTCACCTGCACATCTTCTAATGTGATCTGTGCAATCATGTGCTACCTTTGCCAGCCAAACCAGATTGTCTCTATGCAAAATGGACACACATTAGTCATCAAAGAAGGTAACATTCAAAAACCAAAAGGAGCGCACTTCAGTCTCCCTGGACATTCAGTAACAGACCTGAAAGTTGCCATATTTCAGCAAAATTCAAAACCAGACTGCAGTGTGAAAATGCAGAGCTGGAATCCATATGGGATCAGTTGTTGCTATGCGGCATGTCTAAGGTTATTGTCAAAAGGCATTGATATTCTCTTTGTGAATATAAATGGTTAAAGGAACCAAAATTAAATAAAGTAATTGAATTAAAGGTCTTCTTCTATGTCTTTACAAAGTTGCCTATATAATGCTACCTACAGTTTTATAGTATTTTGAGTTGTATGTTTACCTACAAAAATTGTGTACTCCTCCATGTATTGGACACCATTTATAAAGAAAGATGCCTTTAAAGTACAAAACTAACATAATCTGCTGTCTTAAGTTTCTATTTGAACCTGCAAGTTTAATATTTTGAAGAAACTACTAAGGAGATAACCTTCAGTTGGGGAAGAACCCATTATAAGACACATTTTAGTAGTGGCCTAAAAAACACTTACGAGATTTCTACTGTTCATCTTCTCTGACAAACATTTGCTAGTGTAGCCCACCAGTTCTGTTCCCTAGACTTAAGATTTTTAAATTCCTTTTAAGGATAATCAATTGTGGAAAGCATTGGACTATCCCTTTGAAGTCTTCATTTGCAACACTTAAACCAAATATAGTCCTTTAACAATGAATAAAAGAGATCTAAGTTGCTCTAGTTCCCCTCCCTTGCATTTCGTTTATCGAGCTGTCTGTGGAAGCTGATGCCCAAAATAAGTAGGCTCAGGTCTGGCAGTCCGATATTGTCCTTCCCAATGCCTCCTCTTTGGCTAGGTCTACTCTAAAGCTTTTTCCGATTTTTTTTTTTTTCCAAATATAGTCCTTTAACAATGAATAAAAGAGATCTAAGTTGCTCTAGTTCCCCTCCCTTGCATTTCGTTTATCGAGCTGTCTGTGGAAGCTGATGCCCAAAATAAGTAGGCTCAGGTCTGGCAGTCCGATATTGTCCTTCCCAATGCCTCCTCTTTGGCTAGGTCTACTCTAAAGCTTTTTCCGATTTTTTTTTTTTTTGAAGAAGCTTTTCCAAAATTTGGCCTGTCTACACTGGGCCAAATTTAGGAAAATCCTCCTCTTTCGGAAGAGACGTCTGAAAGATTGCATTTGCATTTCCGCAAAAAAAAAAAAAAAAGTGGAAGAGCAAATGCGTTCCCTGGATGCGGCGGAGTTGGTATCCCGGAAAGCCCTGCAGTGTAGACGTACCTTTTGTGTTACCCCAGAGTGGGTAGAAATAATTCAGAACAAGGGGGGAGGGAGAGAGTGGGAGAGAGAGAGAGAGAACACGAACACATCATTAAAGTTTTGCATCAAGTTGTTACTGGATATTATGTTTGAATATCTGTTGTGCTTTCTATTCTTGTGTAAAAATCAGTGCTTATTTTTCACAAAGACTTGTAACTCTTATTTTATTTACTGTCCTAGAGGATCGCTGAAAACTTTTGTTCACACAGTACATCTATTACAAAAACAGACAGACCTGGGATCCCTGCCTGTGGCTGATGTATTATACAGGTAGGTATTAAGTTTTCTAATTGTAGCCCTTTTGCATTGACCTTGAAAATACGTCAGTATTAAAGATAAAAGATGAGTCTCAATACGTGTGCCATTGACAAATCCAAGACTTTATAGTTACTCAAATGAAAATTTGGGAAGCCCTAGGAAAATTGGCAATCTGGTAATTGAGGTAGAATACTAATAAAAGGCTAACTCTTAGTATATTTAGGGTTTTTTTGAAGATCGCTTAATTATGAACTGTAACAGAGATAAGAAATTTCCCTCTTGAAAAATATCTTTAATCTTAATTTTCTAGCTGGTTAACTGTTGCTTTTATTATTACACTGAAAACATTTTCATTTTGTATTTTACTCTATTTTTGGGGGGGTTAAAGGTTGCTGCTTCTGGAAGGTGGTCCTGGATCTCCCTCCTGTTTGCTTGGTGGAAAACACATGGTATCTTGGGGATTTGAAGATATGTTACCTGCGCCTGATGCTAACAGTGGTTCTAACTCTGAAAACAAAGGTGAACTGTTTATTTTATGAATATACCAAAATCATTTAAGATAATCAGTTTTTTTTCATTGATAGTACAGAGTATTTTATTCTTTATCTAAAGCTTTAGAATTTGAGAGGTTCTTTTTCTTTCTGTTGGAAATAATATAAAAGCAGTCATAGGGTACGGCTATAGTGTGTGCATACCTTCAGATTTTTTTCCTGGAAGAGGCTTTTCCGCCATTTGGCCCCATCTACACAGGGCCAAATGTCTGAAAACCCCCCTCTTTCAAAAGCCCCCTTCTTCCTCATAAAATGAGATTTATAGGGGCTTTCGAAAGAGGGCTTTTTTCCCTGACATTTGGCCCCGTATAAACGGGGCCAAATGGCAGAAAAGCCACTCCAGAAAAAAAAATGGAAATGGGAATGCAAATGCGAGCGCTATTTGCATACCTCTTCCAAACCCCCTACAGTGTAGCAGTACCCATAATGCATAATAAAGAGAACACGTGGGTCCATGTTTTTCAGAAGATGGTGTAACTGGGCATCTATAGGAACTTGCTAGTACCTATTATTTGCAAATCCCCACATTTGTGCAAGAAGATAGGTAAGCAACCAGTTTTCTAGCATGCATATTCAAAAACAGACTAATGCGCATTAGGGATGTGTTAGTATACATATTTACATGATTAACCGATGAGCCTGGACCCATTGGTTAACATTCACAGTTACACAAAAGCGTGCCTCTCCTCTCCTCTCCTGTCCTCCCCGCTGCATCTGTAGCAGAGGCAGTCGTGGGGGGAGCAGGCAGGAGCTGGTGCTCACGTGAAGCTGGCTTTTAAGCAGGCTCCCTGCAAGCACTGGCTCACAGGGAGCTGCTTGCCCCCCTCACACCTGTGCTGCTGCCTCTGAAGAGCCGGCTTTTAAGCAGGCTCCTTGCAAGCACTGCTACCTGTCCCCCTGTCCCTGCTGCTACCTCAGATACAGAAGCAGCAGTACAGAGGACGGGAAGTGGTGCTAGTAGGAAGCTGGCTTAAAGCACTGGCTCCCATAGAACCGCCCCCCGGGTGTAAATGTGTACCTGCTGAAAATTTCAGTGGTTACAGGTTTACCAAAAAAAATATTTTTTAACTTCCCTGATGAGCGAGGACCTAATTTTACATCTAATACATTATTGTCACAGTAAGCAACTATTAGTGTACAGCCCACTTTGAGAAAGCTACTGACGGGCAACTTCTATTTGTTTACTTACTGGCTCTGTAGCCATGGAGCATTCTGGCTCCCAGTAGTTGCAGTTTGGTGTTTGCAGCCAATGGGAGCTGTGGGAAGTGGTGTGGCCTGGGCCGCTGCTTCCTGTGGCTCTCCTTGGCTGCAAATGTCTGTGGCTGCGGAGCCAGTAAGCAAACAAACCAGAGTGTCCCGTTAGCATCTTTCTTAGTGGGCCCACAGCCCACTTTGAGAAACAGTGTCTTAGTGGGAAAGTGCTTAACTTTAGAACTGCCAATGTTTCTTTCCTTTCTTTTCCTTACCCATTCTTCTCTGCTCTCCCTTATCTCTTTCTGTGCCTCCCCTTTTCTTCCTGCTGTATTTCCTACAGCAACTCCCAATTTCTACCACTTCCCTAATTTTATTGCTACAAAAGTAAGCAATGAAATAGTTAATGTTAGTGTTGATATGTCATCAGACTTGAATTGAAGTCTCAGTGAGATCATGGCAGATGAAAGTAATTCACACTTCTGAGTCATTATTTCAGCTGGCCTGCAGACTCAGGAAGACAAATATATTGGTTTACACTCTGCATGTGTGTAACATTATGTTTGCTGCCATGGAGTTATGAAATAAGTTGTTCTGGAAAAAAAAAAGAAAGCTTTGATTTTTGTGATTTGAATATGTAAAATGAACTGTCAGTGTACTTTAAGTGGGTTGGATAATCTTGTGTGCCATAAGTATGTTATAGCAGCACAATTTTTCCATCTCCAACCTTTTTTGCTTGCTTGGTGGTTTTCTAGTTCTGATGTAAATGAATTAAAAGATTGACTATGTCCTCATTGAACAAAGATTATTCTCTCTCAATTAACAAAGATCAGAGAAACAAATGGCTAAATGTAAGAGCAATACTAAATTCCACCTGCATTTACTGGCAGCAGTTATATTTTATAAATGCATTGTTAGATTTTTTTTTTTCCCCACAGTTACCAAACAGTAGTAGACAAGCTTGCACGGAGCCATGTAGTTTAGATGTGCCCTTTGGGTATGTCTACACTATCACCCTAGTTCGAACTAGGGTGGTAATGTAGGCAACCGGAGTTGCAAATGAAGGCCGGGATTTGAATTTCCCGGGCTTCATTTGCATAAAGCCGGGCGCCGCCATTTTTAAATGTCTGCTAGTGCAGACTCTGTGCCGCGCGCCTACACGCGGCACGGAGTCCGCACTAGCGGACATTTAAAAATGGCGGCGCCTGGCTTTATGCAAATGAAGCCTGGGAAATTCAAATCCCGGCCTTCATTTGCAACTCCGGTTGCCTACATTACCACCCTAGTTTGAACTAGGGTGGTAGTGTAGACATACCCTTCCTCATTCCCTAGAAAAAGGAGTTAAATCCTTCTTTTCTTTTTAACAACATAAAAGAAAGTGGTCTTCTGTTCCATTGAAATCTTCTAAAAACAATTAGAAGAAAATTAGGCTTAAAATGTATTATAAAAAATAATTTAGATTCTGATTGTGAAAGTAAAGCATTTTCATCTTAAATGAGTCCTGTTGTGCTGTGCATGTCCTATTACCAAACACGGTTAAATGAAACACTCTAACTTGCACCATAGTCAGATTTGAGTGTGCAGCCAAAAAATCTGTAGTTGTTCGTGGTTGATCATATATCATGAACTCTGAGCCAGAACACATGAGGAATTTAAAATTATAACTTAAACTCTGAGCTATACTGTGTAATAGGTAAGAAATCAATACAGAAATAGGGAACTTCTCAAATGTATATCTTCCATATATCTGAGAAAAAAATTACCCACTCCCGACCCTGCATACTTGAATGAGCAACTGGCTGTATGTTATACTGTTCTCATTGAATTTGCTTGGAAGCATTTCACATTTTTTGTATAATTTATTTCATATTTTAATATATTTACATTAATAATGTGAGTAAATTGTAAATATACAGTTATCCATAATGGGATATAAGCAAGGTAGAATGCCTACTACAAAATGGGGCATTGGTCTTTGATTGGTCATTTGAGAAGTGACTGTAATTCAGATAGTAATTTTTATATATAAAAGATAAATCTTGCCTCTGGTAACTAGGTAAGAAGAGGAACTCTAATTTGTTTTCAGTGACTGTCCTACCAGCAGCTGCAACATGATAATTGTAAATAACCACTGTAGCTTTGCTGTCCATAAAAGGTGAATGCTTCCTTCCTATTTCAGATGCAGACTTAGGGCGCTGTCTTGCAGCAGATGGACTTTATCTTTATACATCTAATTCAGTAGGCAAAGGAATAAGCAAATTAGGATCTGGATTACATGGTACTCTACGGTAAGCCACAGTATTATGATATTTCTGCCTTTGCAAATTTTTTAACCTGTTTAGATAAATCTTTGTTGTCAAAGGACCTAATATGTATATGAAGCATCTAGTTTTTTTTTCACTAAATCATTTTTCCGTGATTCAGATTCAGTGATTTGATTTTCCCTTTCTTATATTGAAAATTACTTCTCTTAATTATCTTCCTCATCTAACATATTTTGAGATGTTTTCCTTTATAGAATGTTATAGACATAAATTTATTCTTCCTCGGGAGCGGTTGACAGTGGCAGGTGGAACAGCCTTTTCAGCGTGGGAGGGAGACTCTCTTTGGACTCTCTGATACCCATTGGCCAGATGGAGTGAGGGGTGCTGATTGACCAGCTTTCCCCAGCTCCCAGGATTTAACGTGAGTCAGCGGCCTTGTGGAGCTCACTTGACTCTGTTCCAGCACCCCCATGCTGAGCGAGGCATGGGAATCCATCCTGATTTGATACTGTGAAACTAGCCAATTGCCTGTTTGGGAGTCGGGAAGGATTTTTTTCTTCCATGAACAAATTGGCAGAGGACCTTGGAGTTTTTCTCCTTTCTCCCAGCATCTTCAAGCACAGTAGGCTGAGTAAGAATGTTCTAGAACCTAAATGAGGTACTTGGTTGAGTTATGAATTCCTGTAACTTGCGACCTTTTTCCAGTTGAATTGAAAGAATAGTTCCCAGAGGTAAAAACCTTGGATTTGGTGATGGGATTAGGCTCGTGGGATAGAGCAAGTCTCTCGTGATTTGAAGTCCTGTTTCTTCTATACCCTCCGTGCCCCTCATGGAGGGGTGGGTGATTGGAGTAGGAACAGGCTGAGCCTTGTGTGGTAAGCTGAGAAGAGCCTTCCCTTAGATACTATTTATACCGTGGGGGTCACAAGGCTCCTACACTGCAACCAATTGAATGCCTGGAGTAGGAGAGAATCGGTGATGGACAGGTGGTACCCCTTTCCTGTGTGTAAGTTTAATAAAATTGCAACCTGTTGCTTAAAATCCATTCATCTCATTACACTGCTGCATCCACATCAAAGCTTGGAAGTTAGGAATTTATATTGTCTGTGTTACAAATTTCAGCTATTAGTACAAGATGTGACTTGTTCTATCTCTTTATTGTTTCCTTGCTTATGATGCTTGACTCTTCAGGCTTCACATACTTAAAGCCAGAGTTTGATGGTTTAGAACCCCTGGGATGCCAACTGAGGAGCTTAACATGCCATTGAGCCAGCCTTCTTTGACAGCTTGGGCACCCGTTTACTTGGTCTTGCTGAGCTAAGCTCTCAAGCCTCCTCCAGCACAGTAGTCAGAGCCATACCCAGTTCTGATGGAGACACTGATGTCAGCCCTAGAAGGGCTGTTTAAGGGATTTACTATAGTACCTAGATGTTCAACATAGTAACTAGATGTTGGGGTACAAATCCAAAATTGCATGAAGTTAACTTCCTTCCTCAATGTGAAGAAAGATATGAACAGTCTCTTGCCACTTTCCCAGTTAGTTATTACATAAACTATATTATAAACCAGAAATAAGTTTAACAACTCCTGTTGTTGCATGAGTATACATCCCTGCCAAACTGAAGTTTTCACTTCATGTATCTGACAAAGTGGGCACCTGTCCACGAAAGCTTATGCTCAAATGCATTTGCAAGTCTTTAAGGTGCCACAGAACTCCTTATTTTTATTAACTGCTAGAGGGCTGTGCCCCCTACTCGCTATGCTCACCAAACTCCCTCTTGTGGGCACTAGGCAAACTTGACTCCCCCTCCCCCCCCCCGGCCATTGGGCCCTTTCTCCTTACTCCCCCCTTACTCCCACCATGCCAGCCCTTTCTCTCCCCACCCCCTGCTGTGCCAGCCCAGGCCCTTTCTGCTCCCGGCCCCCCTCCAACACCCTAGGCCTCTTTATCCTTCCCTCTCCACCCCCAGCTGTGCCGCCCGGGCCCCTTCTCTTTCCCCTGTCTGGGCCCTTTCTCCCTCCCTCCCCCACTCTCCCACAGCTGCACCAGCTCTGGCCCTTTCTCTCCTCCCCCACCCTCCCTCTGGCCGCAACTTAACCCTAACTATGCTCTCCCCTTGCCTGCCTGGGGGCGAGGAGGCTGCCCTGTGCAGCTGCTAAGAGCTGGGGAAAGGGGAAGGAGGAGGCTGGTAGAATGCAGAGTGATGTGATGACGTCACTCTGTTGTCCTGCAGGAAAAGTTTTATTTATATATAGAGAGAGAGATTAAAAGGTGTATTTTAAGTGGTCAAGGAGGTAATAAAAGAACGATACAGTTTGCTAAGAAAATAATAGATTATTCAGTCTAATCTAGAGTTGCTAAAAACTGGTTACACCCTAGATTTCTCACCCTGGATTTTGTTTAAATAGAGTCCTTCACAGGCCAGGAATCCCAGGGCCTGAGTCCAGCAGTTCTCTCCCACCCTTTTCAGTTGTTTAGTTTCATAGTGTTTTCAAGTATCTCTGGGCTGGAGAGAAAGAGGTAAAGGATGATGAAGACCATCATTGCTTTTCTCCCCCTTATATAGAATTTCCATAGGGTAGGAAATCTTTGATTCTCCCTCACCTCTCATGAAACAGCTCAGCAGACCAGGGATTTGGTTAGGATCAGGTGACCAGATCACCTGACTCTGTCATCCATAAGTCAATAGCATGGAATTTTCCAGGAAGGCCAAGCCAGTTCAGTCCTTTGTACTATCTGGTGGGCCATTAAGCCCAGTGTGGCTATTCCATTGTAGAACTTGAGGTGTCAGCAGTGACCCAAAGTAGCAGATATGAAATACAGACACAAGTCAATATTCCTAACTGCATCTACAAAAGTGATACATGTATATGAATTAGAGAATCATATTCAGTAAATCATAACATTTCCAGTGATAACTTTCATCAGCCCGCTTGCATCAAACATATCTCAGTTATGTCATATTTATATCATAATCATAAGGAATGCCACATCACACAGTGTTACTACATTAAATACAGGCGACCCCCGACTTATGACCGCCCGACTTAGGACTCCCTGCATTTACGACCACCCTTCTCCAGCCCAGCCTGTCAAGCCCACCAGCCCCAGGCCAGCTATGGAAGCAGCTCACACGGTGCCACTTCCACCCGGCACAGCCCCCAGCTGGCTATGGCTGCTCCTCCAGCGCGGGTCCTTTACTTCCTCCCAGCACAGCCCCAGCCGGTTATGGGAGGAGTTTATGCGATATCGCTTCCAGCCGGCACAGCCTCAGCCGGCTATGGGAGCAGTTTATGCGGCACCGCTTCCACTGGCACGGCTGGGGACTACAACTCCCAGGAGGCAAAGTGAATCAGGAACGGAACCCCCATTTATATCATTGCGCCTGTGGGAAGTAAGGGTTCGACTTACGACGGCTCCACTTAAGACGATTCTCCAGGAACCAATTAGGTCGTAAGTGCGGCGGTCGCCTGTAGATACATGGCTTTGTAACTAGGTTCAAACAAAGCTCAAGAAATGTTTGAAAAAGAGTAGCATATTTAAAGGTTGTAATGTCCTGCTTTTTCCCCAGAGGCTTTGTGTACTGTCGTAATGAGGAATTGGAGACTGGATGGATTGCTTTTGGCAATGGCAAACTTCTTCATCGGCCTGTCTCTTTTGATAATAAGCCTCACTCCCTTTTCCAGGTCATTGACCAGAATACCCTTCAGGTAAAAAACAAACAAACAAAACCCTTATGCCTTTGTTTCATAAAAAGATATATTCTTAAAATGTCAAAAAAATAATACTGCTGTACTTTCAAGCAAATTTTCTAGGTTAAATTTAATTGATTCTCTCGTGCTTGCTGTGTGCTTTTTTTTCCACAATGAAACTGCTTCTGCCGATGCCCACTAATAAAGTTGTATGTCATGCCTTGCAAACCATTTTACAAGTTACATTGTGCCACAGTGTCCATGTGCACATATCACAAATTAATAGTTAAAAACAAAGTACGCTGCTGATGCCTCCATTTTTTTTAAATACAATAATGGTTGGCACCTTCACTTCTCACTGTAATTGTACTATCCCTCTTTCCTTTTTTTCCCATTGCGGTATAGAGAAGTTTCACTGAAGAATAAAGAGCAAGGCTACTGTTTCCAGCCATATACAATATGTTTCCTCAAATTAAGTGTTTGGTTTCCTCATATTAGTTTCCTTGCAGAATTTTGAGCAGATATTTCAGTAGTGTAAAGCAGATAATTATATTAATATTTATATTTCTAATGATAGTGTATACATTTTTCAGGAGTTTGAAACCTGTCTATTTTTAGATGGATAACTGTGTCTTGCTAGCATGGAATTTGTTAGTACGTGGTATGTCTGTTTGGCAAACTGTGTTCTCCCTCAGATTATAGCAAATTATAAATAGATATGGAACCCTAATGAACCTTGCTTTAATAATTAAAAAGAAAAACCCACACTTTTAGGTTATCTAGTTATAGTCTGAAGAGCAACTTCAAAGTGTGAACTGGACTCTCTTTCTTTCTTGCTTGCTTTCCTACTGATCTGTAGGTATGTCAGATACTTCCAATGCCAGTAAATCACTTCCCAGTTGGAAGTACTATGACTACCGTACATCTTTCTTCAGACGGTACCTATTTCTACTGGATCTGGTCTCCTGCAAGCTTGAATGAAAAAACACCAAAGGGACACTCTGTCTTTATGGATATTTTTGAACTTATAGTAAGTGTATTTTCAATTGAATTTGGGTGTGTTTTTTTTTTTTGTAGTAGATGTAGTTTAGTGACGCGAACAATGTTTCTTAAAATAGTAACATTTATTAAACTTACCAGATATGTTAATTGTTCACAGAAGTGCTAGTCTATTATTTCAGGAATATAGTCAAAACGTTACAAGCAGTTGACATAATATTTAACAGGATGCAAAGCCATACTATAAAATTTGTACTTCCAGAGGACGTTCTAATATAGCAAGCTTGTACCATGTTATGTTAGTATGAAATTATATTATTTCTCTTTTTCTTACTGAATCAGTAATTTAGTATAAATGCCATATACTAAGTGGAGACTGTTTACTGTTTTAAAATGCAATAAGCTGTTCAGCTTAATAGAAGTTATGTGTATAAGGGTAAAACAAATGCACTTTATCACTCAAGTCTGTAAATTTTGTACTGTTTTTTTTTTTTTAATTTAAGTTTTGGAGATATACATGACAACAGTTTGGATTCCTTTCCTCTCGATAGCTTCTATACATCCTTGATTAGTTCTTTTGAGGTGCAGAAGAAATGTTAAAAACGTAACTCTCAAGTTTAAACCTTGCATTTAATGGCTGCTTCTAAATGGCACAGTCTCCAGCAGTTTAAACCAGCGTTTCTCAACTTTTTTTTTAATAAAGTACCTTTTTAAAATATATTATATAAGTACCCCCCGCTCCTACAGCTTTCAGACACTCAGAATTTTTTTCTACCAGTGCAACACATTTGTTTAAACAACTTAATTGTAGCAAGGTGGGCAATGACATTTTTGGGCTTAAAAAGTACAAAAATAATAAAGTGCTCTAAAACTTAAAATTGTTTTGTGTGCCCCCCCCCCCCCCCCCGACTTCTCTTGAGTATCCCTAAGAGTACTCGTACAACTGGTTGAGAAACACTGGTCTAAACAATTTCAGTTCTATAGAGACTGAAACCACATCAATCTATTAACTTTTTTTGGCATTGGTACAACTTTTACTATTGTCAGTACCAATAGACTTGTATAGTATATTGGAAGCAGTATAAATTGTTGAAATGATGACCAAGAATCATAGAAAGCTATGACTGAAAGGCACCTCAATAGGTCACCTAATCCAGTCCCCTGCACTTAGGCAGGAGGAGGTATTTAGACATGATGCAGCTGCGGGCGACAGTGCAGGTTCTGACTCCCTAACCTGTTGCAAACTCCCATTGTACTGGCTCCCTGAATTATTATTCTCCAGTTTCATGGAATCTTGGGAAGGAGTTGAGGACTTTAAAAATCAATCTAATCTAACAGAAGGGTCTTTCCATTTTTAAGGTAAGGGATTCTCCGATTCATTTCCTTTGTATATTACTAGAAAAAACAAATTTCAGTTTCTGAATGACCTCCAGATGGGTCCCTCCGGAATGTGTCTGGCCTTGGCTCTCTGTTAGGAAGGTCTTTCACAGCAGAAAGCACTTAAGAAAAAGCTTTCACTCATTCCTGTTGAGAACACAGACACTGTCTTAACTTTTTGTGAAATTATTAGTTAAAATATTAAATTTATTAAATGTCTCATCTACACTAAATACTTTTACCAGGATAGCTATGCTGGTTAAGGGAGTGGGGTCTTTTTTTTTTAAATGACATTGCTATAACTGTGCTTATAGTAATATATAATTTTTATCCAAGGTATGTTTTAGTCATGGGCTGTAAACAAAAATTCGTGGCCCAGGACCTCTCCATGACTTGTATTATATACTCCTAACTAAATCTTGGGTGCTCTGTGGGAGAGGGGTTTGTTGGGACTGGCAGGCTCTCTACTTGGCCCTGGAAGTAGTGACATATACTCAGCTCCTAGGTGGAGGTGCAGCCTGGGGACTCTGTGCACTGCCTCCACCCCAAGCTCTGGCTCAGCAACTCCCATTGGGCAGAAACTCTGGCTATTGGGAGCTGCTGGGGCAGTACCTGTGGGTAGAGAGACAGCATGCAGTGTTTGCTTAACCATTCTTCCACCTACGAGTCATAGGACATGTTGCCACTTCCAAGAAGCTGCCCAAGGTGAGCGCCGCACAGAGCCCATACCCCAAAATTTCTTTTATACCCCAATCCCCTTACCCCAACCCTGGGCCCCATCCCATACCTAAACTCCTGCTGATAAGAGGGAGGATAGTGTCCTGAGACTATCCCAGCTAAGGATGTGAAGGACTAGATGACTATCTGAGAAGCAAATGCTTATGGGATAGTCGACAGGATAGTCAACTAGTTGCTTTGTCCGCCTCCACCCCCCATCCCGCTACCTCTGTCAGATAGAGGCAGCAAGCGGGGGGAGAAGAGGGGTACTTCAAAGTGGCAGTGCTGCACGGAGCCCGGCCGTGCAGCACTGCCACTTTGAATGCCACAGGGAGCCTGGCATCAGGCTCCTTGTGGCATTTCAAAGCAGCAGTGCCCCATGGAGCCCGGGGTCAGCTGGAGGCACCCTATCGAATAGTCAATGCAAAAATGCTTTGACTATTCGATTATTCAGTTACCTGATACTTAATATCTTTACTCCCAGCAGTTGCTAGTGTGACTGCCCAAGGGGCTGGAGCTGGCCTTCAAGCCGCTATGGAGATCCCAAAGGGCCTGGAAAGTCCTGGACTCTAGGCTTCTATGACCGATATGCAGCCTTACTTATATCTGTTCTCTGAATATTGGGGATTAAGCAGTTAATTGAGTAGTTGATGGAATTTCCATGTGTCTTACTACATTTCAATGGCAGAGGTGCAGTGGGGAACCTGGGAAGAGTGGGGACTCAAGCAGTCCCTGCTTGCACCAGGTTCTGACGGCTGCACCTCTGTCTTGAGGTGCAGCAGTTGGAACCCGGGGTGAGCGGGGACTGCTTGAGTCCCTGTTGATCCCGTTTCCCGCACTGTGCCACTGCCTCCCCTGCTTCCCTGTGGAGACAGTGCTGTGGGGAACCGTCTTTTAACCCGGCTCCCTCCAGCTTCTGCTCCCTCCCTTGCTGCCTCTGTTTTAGAGGCAGCAAGGGAGAGGGGAGAAGTGACTAGTCAAGTAGCGACTTGACTAACAGATAAGCCTAGGCTTATTGGGTAGTCAACTAGTTGCTTAAATCCCTACTGAATAACATAATATTAATATAACTATACTGGTAAAGTATTCTTAATGTAGATAAGACCTAGACCTTTCCAGAATTGCATTATGTAGGGGAAATCTTCATCCAGTCTTTCAGCTATGTGACTTAGTCTTTTACAAAACTTACTTGTAAAATTAAAATAATTGTTAATATATGTGTTATAATTAAAACATCTAACTACTTGGTTTTGTATAATGTTAGCTTTAACTTTATTTCTGGAAATTTATTTATGGCAACCAGACTATTGAAGTTCTGGTTTTCAACTTAAAAAATGTCTAAAGATGATCAGTTATGATACGATTTTGGCAATGATCTAATAAACTAGGTTTCTAGGTATTTCAGTCACACCAATCACCTTGATATGAGACTTCTTTGCATAATTCTGGATCTGTTTTTTGCTTCTCTTCTCACTTTGGGAGATGTAGGAATAAAATCCTCAATCTCTTAGGGACACTTATGTCTAATGACCATTTTTTTCCTTTCATTTGCATAGGAAGAAAATGATATATGTATAGCAAGTCCTCTACAGGAGCGCATTATACTAATGAGGAAAGAGGGGGAATCAGCAAAAAGTATAAATGAGATGCTTCTGAGTAGGCTTTCAAGGTACAGAGCTTCCCCATCAGCAACACTGGCTGCTCTGACTGGTTCTACAATCTCCAATACATTGAAAGAAGACCAAGCAGGTCAGAAGAGTTCTGTTCTCCTTGATAATTATTTTTCCATTTTGTTTGCAGTGGTGCATATTTACAAAATTATTTCTCTAAATATAGAACTCTGAAAATCCTATATACCTGTATGTATAATGTCTTTAAATGTATGCTTTTTAAACTGCTATCACATATATTATTTTTACTAATTTTGTAGTCTCAGAAGGGTAGCCGTGTTAGTCTCTAATGTTAAAAACAACGAGCAGTCCTGTGGCATCTTAAATACTAACACATTTGTTAGTCTCTAAGGTGCCACAAGACTAATTTCTTAATATATATTAAAGTTCTCTAAAATTGTGTGAATTTCTCATAAAGGTAGTTGTGTTGGAATACTTTTTACAAATACACACCTGAGTCCAAGTGCTAAACACTCAAAGTTCTAAAAACAAACTAACATAGTTCATATTCATGTAAAATACACTGATGTAAGGAAAAAAGATTGATTACGCAAAAATAGTAGCTGTCATAAACACTGCCCCCTTTTGTAGCTATCTGACAGCTCAATTCTGCCACTTTTATTCTGAAGCTTCAGGAAGTAGCTGAGTTAGTCTGTACAGCATAAACTTAAAAAACAACAAATAGTTTGTTCATCTGAAGAAGTGTCCTGTGCCCACGAAATGTGTAAGTGATTTCATAAGACTTTTTAAATGGCACCAGCACTACATTGAGGCAATACAAGAGGCCTTAAAAATCTCCCATGAAAATCCAAAAGGATTTTTTTTAAGATGGGATCATTACTTCTTATTGTGCCTAGACCACCATGATTTGACAAGTAGGGACATTTAAAGAGCGTAAAAAGTGGTAGTACATCCCGAGGGCCTCTTGTCTTCCTTGGGCTTTACAATGTTGGGTATGATATTTTACCCTCTTAAACTTCTGTCGAAGGGATGTCTGTTTGCCTCTCCATGAATTCTACCTTCTGTTAGGTTTTAGGTTTCTGAGGGAGGGATTTTTTTTTCTGATGATATCATAATTATTATAGGAAGTAGGATGTATCATTATTCATATTTAAAGAACATTTTATTCAAATTATATTTTAAAATGCCACTGAAACAGTACATGCCTTCCTAAGAATTAACTCCAGTGAATGGGGGTAGGAGTGGAGGAACAGGCATTTTAGAGTCTCTTGTTCAGCCCCACAAGTAAATTCCAATGGCTGCAAAAAAGTTAGATTTATGAGCATGATCTGATGGATTTATTTTAGCTCCAATACAGATGTCCTACACCAAGATGTAGTGTACCTTGCTTGCTGATCATATTTTTCTAACTGGTTAGTAAAAAAAAAAAAAGCATGCTTTTTGAATCATTGCTTTATTGAATCATTGCTTTATTTAATATTTCAGCTGCTAACACTAGTTGTGGGCTACCACTAAAAATGTTACGAAAGACTCCAATGTACACATGTGGAACATATTTGGTGATGCTGGTCCCACCTCCAGGAGGGTCAGGCAGTTCTGCAACACGATCACTGTTTGGTGGGACAAGTGGTTTGTCATCTTTGAAAAGTAAGTTGGTTTTTGTTGCTGTTGGTTTTTCTGTGGATTTCAGAGACTCTCTTTTTATCTTACTTTAAACTTTTGAGAATTTAATTGGAGGTTTTTTTTTTTTTAAGTTCTTGCATCTAGCTTGGTATACAATATTTCGGATGGGCAGTTCACAAGCAGAGCAGATCTCATCGATGCCACAGGAAGTTCGCTTGGACGTGGTGCTCTAATACCAGGACTTGGTAAGAAATACATTTATTTTTAGGGGCATTCTGAATTGGAGATCATGATCTTTATTTTCTAAATTAATTCTTTCAATTTCCAGGAGATTTGCACTTTTCTGGGAGTAAAATTAAATTAAAGTACCTCCTAGATGCTATGATGTGAAATTTCTAAAGCAAGATTTTTTTCCCCTGGTTTTTTATGCTTTGGCTTAAAGGTTTTGCATTTGCATTTGCTCTTCTAGAGAGTGAGAAGAGGTATTTAACCCTAAGTGGAGAGAATTGAGATTTTTAAAAATATCTTCTGGATTTCAGAGACTCTTAAAAGAAAGATTCAGCATGTAGAAGATTTGAAATTTTTTCACTTGAGGGGAAAAAAAAGATACACTAATAAGGAAGATAGATATTCTGCTTATATTTTCTTTCTTCCATATGATTGGTGATCACAACCTCACATTCATGTGCATTCTGCACTTGGATTACAGTGAACCCTCGTTTATCGCGGTAGATAGGTTCAGCAGATATTACTAATTATTAATGGAATTAACGAAATATTTGGGGTCTTCATATATCGCGGCTATTTTCGAAATTTCCGGAAAATCCGCGATATATTTCTTTTATAATATATACATACGTAATGAAAAAAGTCCGCGAAGTCGTGAATCCGCGATGGTCGAACCGCGAAGTAGCGAGGGCTCACTGTACTTCTACCAGGCTCAGTAGTCCAAACATTACAAAATAGAATAGGATAAATCGTTGAAAAACCAAAATATTAAACAACACTTAATTAAAATGTTAAAAAGGTATATTTTTAAAATGTTAGTGAAAACACTTTAGACAACAAGTTTTGAAACTGTAGCACACACATGTTAATCAAGGTAAAGGTTCACCTAAATCAGCTTATCGTCTGTCACAATAAAACTAGTCCAGTCTACCCTGGAGTTTTGAAATGCGTTTAAATATCTTCTAGGCTTGTCTAGACCAGCCTGTAGAGGAATTTCTGCAATCCCATGTTGTGCGGCTAATGCCAAATTCATACTTTTCCTCCATGTTTTCAAATGCCCTCATAGCACTTTTGTTTTTTCAGTGTATTGTGCCTATTTGTATAGCTCCTCATATGCCTCCAGTGCTATATATAATCTGCAAAGTAGTAACAGCAAGGCAATTAAATGTTTAAAAAAATACAATTAATTGTGAATAGAAATAGCTAAAGTACTTGAAATGGGTTTATCTGTTTTTCTTGAACAGCAGTATAAAATGCCAGCCCCAGCATTTCTACCGGTTAACTCAAATTGGTAGCAAGCAATTTGACTGATAAGAACACCAAGAAACTCTAAATATATAGCACTTAAGGCATTTATTTGATGATACATGAAGGATTTCCATTAATCATGTTAAGAAATTTGCTGTAAAAGATTGTTATTCTTAAACCTTATCTTTAAGAAGCCTGATGCATTGCATAATTAATTAACTTTATAAAACACATTATATTCACATCTGATATAGCAATGTTTGAAGTGGTTTCTAAGAAAAAAAATTCTCATAGAAAATACTATCATCAGACAACTTTTTAATAAATAAAAGCTACTTTGATTTTTTTTCTATATTCAGGTGCATGTTATGATACAGTGAATAACATGATCTGGACATGCTCTAATGACTACGTTGATCAATGGTGTAATCCTGGAAACCAAGCATTCCATTATGTCTGTCAGAGACTGGGAGTTAGTCATATCATTACGGAGCCTAGAGGTAAGCCTACACTCTTTATATAAGTATAAGTAAAATATGAGATTAACATAGACTGAACGTATTTTCTTCAGAAAGCCACAAAATACAAGATTAGTTACAACCTATTACAGAATGATTTAATCTTTATTGAAATCAAGCTTTTTTTGTTCATGTTTGTTAGTTTTTAGGCTTCTGCTCCCTTTAATACTTACAAAAACTTGAACAGAAATCTCTCAACTTTTAATATAGATAGCTCTGAAGAGCTGCAGAATTTCAGTGATGCTAAGGATGTTTTCATAACATTTTAAAAATAAACTTGATATTTGCACATCTGTGTTCATCGAGAGATTTATGTACATTTATATTTTTCTTTCAGGAGATGCTATTACCACAAATGAGGTTATCAACCAGTTACTGCACCATGTTGGTGCCATGTGCATCCACCAACTTAATTTACTTGCAGCTAGTAACAATCTCCCAATAACAAATTTTTTGGGCAAACAACATCCAATTGAAGCACACCATCTCAGCAGTATTTGTGACATTATGGAGAAGGCTATGGTGAACGGAGATACTTGCATTATACGCTGCATCCTTGTTGTCTTTCAGGTATATACATTAATCTTAAGTATATTTTTAAAATCAACTCTGTAAAGGAGACTTTAAGAATGCAGACAAAAAATATTTTAAATAAAAGGTGACTTTGTATTGAGTGGATAAGAGTTAATAGACATCAACCTAGAGATGACTTATTTTGCTTTTCTAGAATACATTACATTAGACCCCATGTGGTGTCTTATTTGTATGTCATGAATTGGATAATTTCAGAGAGGTTAAGTTGTTTGCTCAAAGACAAGAAGAAGGGTGATTTGCTTAATTTTTGTTAAGGCATTTATCAGAGATTTGGTAGGTCTGGATTCTGACTACCTCTGACTCTGAGCAAGCTGCGGGAAATTACTTTAGTGTGCTGGCCACAAATATGTTTAAAGTTGGCCTGATTCTGCTCCCACTTGACCACTATGTTATAGGTTCTTTCCTGTAGGAAGCACTTTCCTTGAATCTAGAAGAAATATGTTTTTAATAGTAGTGTATTTTATTGGTTTTTTAGGTGGTTTTTAAATTTTTCTTCAGCCCTCAAACTGAGAGAAACCGAGAAATTGTTAGACGGTCTGGCCTTTTACTTTGGCAGTTACTGATGGCACCAAAGAGCCAGATTTGCCCTGAAATTCAGAAGGAGGTCTGTCTAGCGATCAGGTAAATAACAGTGTTACTTTGTGAGAACAAAGTGAATTTAAGATCTTAATGATAATTATGACCTTAATTTCATAGTTTACTGAGACATTCAAATAAAAAATGCAGCTAATCTGAACTTCATAATAAGAATCCAGTATTTTGTGTGTAAACTATGCCTTTAGCGATTACATTTTAGTTAAATATGATCAGGTCATGCATATTCTGTTGGTTTGAAGGGGAAGAAAAATACAGGAAATTATATTAAGTGGGGATGGTAATTAAATATGTAAAAACTATGTTAGGTCTTTAAATTGCTGCTGCAGTTCCTATTGGCTACTACACTTTTTTCACTTTTAAACTAATAAAGAGTATGATTGATGATCATTTGCTGTCATGTTTCACCCAAGAATTGTCTGCATTGCAGTGGCACTGCAGAGTGTGTGTGTGGTTTATATATGCTTTGGGGTGAAAGAAGCTATGTAAATGATGGTTACAGCAGTGTTTCAGAAAGCAGTTTTGAGTTGAGTGGGAGGTGAGAACAGTGTGTGAGGAGCAGAGTGAGGATGATTTTGGAAAAGTATGAAATGGGTGTAACAGATGTCCACATGTCTTGGGATGGTGGGAGACTTGAGTTAACAGTTGAGGAGCCTGTGATTATATAGGTGTCTTGGGATGCGGTGAACCCAGTGTGCTTGTGCTGAGGCTGAGGCCAAGCAGATAGGTACAAATGCTCAAGGAGCAGTGACACCACTGTCTCATTTATGTGTTTTGTCGTGAGAGCAGGCTGACCAAGCAAAGGACAATAAAGTAGAAAAATTCAATTGGGTATCAAGAGAATCAGAAAATGTGCATCTCAAGAGCATAGATAGAATGTTATCGCAGATGTCCTAATGTAAATCTGCCTTCAAGTGGAAACTTTTCCAAAGCTTGAGAACAAAATCTTCCAAAGATCAACCTGTATACCTTTCTTATAAACTAGTAAGTTACAAAATGTATATAGTCCTTTAAATGCACAACAGAATAGTAGTACATCTTTGGTTTGAAGGCTGTTCTTTTGGGTTTTAGATATGCTGTTTGTGTTTACTACAAATAGGGATAGAACAATTAAGTAGTTGTTACAGTATTTGACTAGATTCATTGTTTTTGGTCAGCATATAAGAACATTGTTTATGTAAGCAAAGGAGCAGATCAGTAAAGATCAGGAAGGATTTATTTTCATTGTATAGTAGAAAAATAAATTAAGTTAACTTTGAGGTTCATATTTTCTGGCTTAAATTTTGAATTAAATAAATTGTGTTTGTAAGATATTGAGAAATGTAGACTCTCCATGTGGCAATGACTATTCTAAGTCTTCATTTCAAAGTGGCTTGACTGTGATCAGTCTTCGAATCAGTGACTGTGTTGGGAATAAATTACAGAACTCTTGGGTCCGGTTCACTCTTGTAAAATGAACAATAGATGAACACACTTATGCTTGGTATGAGACACACTTAATACAGTAAAATATGTCCATATAGTATAAGCAATCAGAAGCAGTGCTCAAGGGTGATCTCTTATCCTTGATATGGTGAACAATTTGTGCAGAGGGGACAAAGTATTAAATGGAGAAAAGGCTGTTTATTTTGGAAGTGTTATGAATAGTAGTGCTGTTGTAATACTACCACACTTCTGGATTTCTGTTTAGTTTAAAGAAAGATTTCTGTAGTGGATCAAAGGTTAGTGAATTTAAAGTGTTAATATTAGTAAAAGTTCTTGGCTGCTGACTTTCATTTTCTATAGCTTTTACTCCAGATGTTTGAGTTGCTGCTTTTTTCCCTCTCTCTACCAGCATTATTCTGTTTGGATTTGCAGTAAAGCCATCATCCTGTGTTTGATGTTTGTTTATTACAGAAATGACTCTGCTATCATATGTTACAGTGACGATTTCACTGTAGGATTTGTCAGGAGGGAGCGGCTGGCCTGAAGAAGGGAAAAATCTCTGCTTATATAGTAAAACTTATTTGATTAACAGAAATCACAGGAAGAAACCATGACAGATATCTTAATCTAAATGTTAAGACGTGTTGGATGCCTTTCCTTAGTATAAAAATATCTTTTTATAAAAATTCAGGTATCCATATGAAATATTTCAAAAAATGGTAGCTATGCAATTGTAAGCTCTGCTTTTTATTGTTTTTCCCCATTATTATAATGAAACTATTTTCCTTTCACTCATTATAAACAAGTTTTAAATTTGACTTTTGGTCTCTTCCCCCCCGCCCTCTATTTTTTTTTTTTTTAAGCTCGGGCTTAACTATGCTATATCCCACTGAAGTGGAAATTAATAACTTACTGAAGTTGGTCTTGACTGAAGGTGAGTTCTTATGGAAACTTTGGGTTAAAAAACCCTTACACTTAAAAACTAAGTTAAGCAAGAGTGGTTTTGTCTTTTTTCCTGTTAGCACTTTTTATTTCCAGGGTTAAAGAAATTCAGGGAAGTTGCTGAATGTTAGACTATCGTAAACTAACACTTCCTTGAAAGTTATTGAATGTTTTAAATTCTCAGTACTCTGCCTGGATGTGTGGGAGAGAGTTTGTGAAGGGGATGGTGAACACTGTATCAGAATAACAGCTAGATTTAAATTAAAATTAGAAAGGTTTACAAATCTATTTTGACACTGTTTATAATGTACTTTGTCTAGCCTGAATGTCTCACCTAATAGGAACTCAACAATTCTTTAGAAAGGGCCCTATTTTTGGCATTTAATTTACTCACTCTATAAACATCCCTGTTAAGGGGCAGTGTGTAACCTGTTGGTGAGGTAAAACATTGAAATCTAAATCGAGTGTCCTTTCCCCCCACAGTTCCAGAAACACTGAAACATGATTGGCTACATACAGTTTTTACTGTTGAAGTTAATTTCAACATCTTAATGTGTTGCTTATTGGTCAGAGCTATCAAATGACAAAGTAGTAAACTATTTGTATTGATTTTTAAATGGGTAAATATTTATTTTCCCAAAAATTATGAAGCTATTTAGCATGTGGCAAAAATGGTAAATATCAACATTTTGTAATAGGCTAACATAAAGTGTTTTCATGTTACATATTCTTACTTGTCAAAGTATCTCAGAAGTGATTTGAATAGTTCTTTATATTTTCAAATGAAATTTGCTGACTAGGTCAGTCTTTCACCAGAGGATGTGTACACGTAACAATAGATTGTGTGCCCATAGTCTGTAGTGAATAGATATGTGTGTAGGTGAATGTCCTAATATAATGCTTCACCATTTGTAAGGTTTTTTACTTACAAAGTAGTGTCTGCTAGAAGGTTTTAATTTGTAATTCCCTATGCATGAAGTACTAGCCTTTGACGTAAACTAGCTTTTAAATCAGTAACCTGTATGCACATGTCAGAATTAAAAGTTAGAGATGACAGCTTCATATTATGAATATGCAAAAGATATGAGAGAAGGAAGAGGCTTAACAAGTATTAATGAAGACTACATCCACAAACAAGTCCTTGACTTTGCACCAAAAAGGGGAAAGCATATTACAGCTCTTACCAACCATGTCATCAACAATATGACACATCTTTTTGACCCTGAAGAAAATCCAGGGTGTTTATCAATGTATCTACTGAACTGCATGAAATTCCTCTCCATGGAGCATCACCTTGTAGTGGTAGAGAGGCTTGCATGTTTCAGTGACCCCAAGAGCAATGCTACCTAGTGTCATGTACGCCCTTAGGGTCACCCATGGCAGAATGGTCAAAGGCAAGGTTCCAGACAAAGTGTGATCCAAGAAGTCCTCAACGGCAGAGCAGATGGGGGATAACTGCACAATGGAGGTGAAACTGTTCTGTAATGTTACAACAGCTGTGAAAGTGGATGAAGGCTGCAGCAGATAGTGGATCGCCAGTCGTTGTGGTGTCCATGCCATTGGTTTCAAGCCCCCTGTTTGTCAAGAATAGTGTGGTGACTGTTGTGCACCAGTCTACCCACTTCAAAAGAATTCCGCACAGGCATCTTCCAGTTTTTGGGGAAACAACACTTGCACAAGTCAAAAGACTGGTGGCGATCAGTGAGTGGTGACAGGAATAGGACAATGAGATATGGAAGTTCCTACTCACTGACCAATACACAGGTGCTGGGTGTGTGATTATTTGTCTTGCTTAAAGACTGAGGCAGCTTGAGTATTTCAGCAGCTGCACCCGTGACTGAGCGTTCCTCTTTAGGACCCACTTTGCTCACCCAATCTGGGGAGGAGGTTAGAAAAAGTGCCCTAAAAATAGTCTGCCTCTCTTCCTCGTAGCTGGATAACTGCATCCAGCAGGATCACCACCACCCTAGCAGTCAAAAATGTAAGAAAATTGTCAACTTTGGAACTTGGAATGTATGTACCCTGATGTACAATTCAAACAGTGACTGACCAGAGTGATGTACAGGTATCCTTGCTCGTGTATTGAATTAGTTTACCATCGATATTGCTACCTTGTCCAAAACTAGAAGAGCTGATGAAGGGCAGGAAAGGGAGGAGAAAGGAAGATACACCTACTTCTGGAAGGGAAAATCTTTGAATGAACCTCAACTGTATGGAGTAGGCTTTGCTGTAAAGAATAAGCTTGTAAAGTGCCTCTCTGAGTGCCAGTTGGCATCAATGAGCAGCTTTTGTCACTCAGACTGAGGCTCACCAAAAACCAACAGGCAACTATTGTAAGTATAGGATGTAAAGGAAAATTTCTACTCTCATGTGAAACCATTTTATCAGAGACCCTAAAGAAGATAAGATCATTCTTCTGGGGGATGTTATTTCACGTGTTGGATGAGACTTTGACCTGTATAAAGGAACAATTGTGAAAGAAGGATTTGGCAAAAGCAACTCAAATGTAATCCTGCTCCAGACCAAGTGTGCTGACCATGAACTTATCACAAACATCCTTTATCGACAAAAAGACAAGTTCAAAACATCTTGGAGTCACCCATGTTCAAATCACTGCCATCTTCTCGACTATGTCTTGGTTCATGCTCACAAGAACAATGACAAATGCTTATGACTTCTGGACTGATCATCACCTTGTTCAATCCACAATGAAAGGTAAGATCATCCCCGAATGGAGGCTACAAAAGCAGATCAGGTGCAAGCTGAAGGTTCAAGATCAAAAGGACCCCATTAAGCATGACCACTTCCAAGCATTCATAGAAAAAAAGCTTTCATCTGAATTTCTGGAAGAAACTGAGGAACATTGGAGCCAGCTGAAAGCAGCAATCATCCGTGCCTGTGAAGAAACCATAGGCTCCCAAATGAGAAAACATCAGGATTTGTCAGATGAGAAGAATGATGTTGCAAACAAGCAACTCATCAATGAGAAGAGAATGGCATTTCATGCTTGGCAGAATGATATAAATTGCAAGACAAAGAGAGAAGCCCATGCTAAGGCAAGGGTGGATGTCCAATGTAAAACCAGAGAATTTAAGAATAAATGGTAGACTGAGAGAATGCAAGAATTCCAAAATTTTATGTATATCCATAATACACCTCGTTTCTTTAATGCCATTAAGGTTTTTTATGGGCCAGCTTGTCATGGCATGAACCCCCTTCACTCTGAGGATGGAACCACAGTAAGGATAGCACAGTCAATTAACCGATAAGCAAATAGTTAATGCTATATAATGCTACAGACTACATGCATTCTTTCCTTCTTCCCCCTGCCAGTATATTTGTTAGCAGGCTGGCTAGCAGCCCCGACTCAATTCTGGCTCGCACTGGATCCGAGACATAACTATGCTGCATCCCTGCATTTAAAGTGTAGTAGGAGCCAGGTGGGCAGGCAGCCCAGCTCGTACTGGGTCCAGGAGATCAGCCCTTCCTGCTGCCCCCTCCCGCCAGCGGATGGGGGCTGCTGCCAGCCTGTGCTGTTGCCTCTCTATCACAGACCATAGAGCGGGGCAACAGGCAGCCAGTCCACAAGAGGAGCTGTTTTTTAAACTGGCTCCCCTCACAGGCCACCTTCCACCTGGCACCCCATGCTGCTGCCTCTGAGTGTCAGGGGGCTCCTCAGAAGTGGGACTAGAGCGCCCTGGCTGCCAGCCTCACCCACAAGGATTATAGAATAGTAGAGTAACCGATAAGAATTCATTAGGTTATTTGACTATTCAATTAACCGATATTTAACATCCCTAAACCACACTTTTGAAGGACAACAAAGCCAATATTTTTACCTGAAAAGAACATTTTGAATATCTTAATAGTATCTCCATGGTTGCAAATGAAGTTCTTGAGCATGTCCCCCAACAATCTTCTATGAATGAGCTTGGAGACCCTTCTAATTTGCTTGAGGCATACAGTGCTATCAAGCAGATGAAGAACCAGAAGGCAGAAGGTCCAGATGATATCCCTGCTGAAATGTTTAAAGATGGTGGACCAGAGTCAATTTGGCAGCTCAGCCTGCTTATCCATAACATTTGGACAAAAGAGGAGATACTCAGTGAATTGAGGGATGTCTTGATTGCAACCCTCTTTAAGAAAGGGGGATAAAGCAGACAGTGGGAACTATTGTGGTAGCTCTCTCCACGCTGTTGCAGGCATAGTTCTGGCCTGGGTCCTTGCAACCCTTCTCCCACCTCTGTGGGAAGAAATGTTGTTGGCGTCACAGGCTGGTTTCTGGCCATGTCACAGAACTGCGGATATAATCTTCATTGCACAGCAGTGGCAAGAAAAGTGTTGGGAGCAAAGCCAGCCACTGTCCATGGCTTTTATTGATCCAACTAAAGCCTTTGACTCAGTAAATTGCCGTGCCCTCTGGACTGTACTTTCGAAGATTGGATGTACTAATAAATACATCAGTGTTCTAAAATTGCTTCATGACAACATGAAAGTGACTGTCTGAGCAGCACTGGCTCCCAAAGTGAATCTTTCAAAGTACAAACAGGAGTCAGACAGTGCTGTATCATCGCTTCAGTCATGTTTATGGTCTTGATTGACATCATTTTTATCCTAATTGCTGGGAAGCTCCCAGCTGGCATTGAAATCTTTTACAGAATGGATGGAAAGCTATTTAGGCTTAGCAGACTGAAAGCTAAAAGTAAGATTTCCACCACATCTATTGTAGAACTTCAGTATGCTGATGACAATGCAGTTTTTGCCCACTCTGAGAGAGATCTTCAGGCTATCCTGAATGTGTTCGCTAATGCTCACACATGTCTTGGTCTCACTCACAACATCAAGAAAACCGAAGTGCTCCATTAGCCCTCTCCAAATGAGGTATTATGTGACCCATCTATTAAAATCAATGGAGAGACACCGGAGAATGATGATAATTTTCTCTACCTTGAAAGTTATTTTTCATCCAAGGCAGATATTGACATTATGTGACCCATCTATTAAAATCAATGGAGAGACACCGGAGAATGATGATAATTTTCTCTACCTTGAAAGTTATTTTTCATCCAAGGCAGATATTGACAGATGTAGAAATCCAACATCATCTGAGCTGTGCCAGTGAAGCCTTGCTTGTTTATAGCACAGGGTTTTTTAAGATTGAGACATTTAAACCAACAACAAGCTTCTCATCTATCAAGCCATTATTCTCCCAATACTGTTGTATGGACTAAAACCTGGACAGCCTATAGATATCACTGGAAATTCCTTGAGAGGTATCATGAATGCTGCCTTCACAAGATCTTGAAGATGAAATGGGAAGACAGATGCATTAACATCAGTCTTCTAGAAGTGGTAAAGACCATCAGTATTGAGACAATGATAATCTGTCAGCAACTTTGCTGGACTGGTCGTATTGTTTGGATGCCAGACCGTCACCTCCCAAAACAGGTCCTATTTTCTCAGCTGAAAGAAGGTTACTGTAACGTAGGAGGAAAATGGAAGCTTTGTAAGGACTTGCTAAAGGATAACATAAGGAAGTGCAGCATTGACGTTGACACTTGGGAGACATTCCCCCAGGATCACTTGAAATGGAGATAAGTCCTACGCAATGACTCCCTGCATTTTGAATTTGCCCACCAACAAGCTGAGAAGGAGAAGAGATGCATGAGGCAGGGGAGATTGGCTTCTAGTCATGGTCAGCAGCCTTCTGATATACCTGGAAACATCTGTCCTCACTCTAATAGAACTTGTGGTTCAAGGATAGACCACGTATCAGCCACCTGAGGGTCCACAACTCCCTTGGAAGATGATCATACGTGGCAACCAGAGATTACCCATCATATCAGTTGTATAGGAGCTCCTGAAAATAACAGATGTTGATGAAGAGCAAACAGCTTTGTGAGAGGTGCACTTGATTTTAAGGAGAGAGACAGCTTCTTTAGTTGCCCAATCAAGAAATCTGGCATCAAAACACTTGCTGACATGGTTAAGAACAACAAATTCAAAGGAGGGGCAATCACAGCTGATATCAGTTTTCCATAGACCCTTGACTATAGCAAGATGCAATGATGTTTCAACAGCAACTATTCTCAATCACCTATTGAAACCTGTGCCTTTGGCCTGCTGATGTAACAATAAAAAAAACTGACAAAGATGAATTAGGGTATCAGCTGTGAAATCAAGCTAGAATGAGCTAAGAGTATGCAGTGAAGAAGCAATAGTGTACATCCAAGATGCCATAGCTGTAATGCAAATGACTGAAGACAAATTACACTAATTGGATAAATGGACTACTGAGTATTTGAGGCAAGTCCAAAAAGGATTTAGCAAAGCTAATTCTGTAATTGAACTCAGTTACTGTTGTCCTATTTGTCACACTGTACAAATTGCAGAAAGACAGCGCTGGTCAGGATTTAAGGATTGCTGCAAGAAATCCCAGGTGAATGGATATCCTGTGCTTCTTTGAAAAAAGTTTCTAAAGTTTTGCATCCAATAAGCATCACTTGTAAAATTTCTGTATGAATTGCATGGCTCAAAATCTACCTGGGAATGTAGGAGCACACCACACAGTCCTTCTTGACTGAGACTTTTCCAGTGGTGAAGGAGCCAAGTCCCTCATCAGTAGAGGTATTGAAGAAGCCCAGGACTTGTACAGTACTCAAGATGAAATAGACACAAGGATGCTTCTGCATGCACCTATATTTGAATCTCTTGGTATCAAAGAATCCATAGTAATTAGGTCACCTGATACAGAAATTTTCATCCGGGCTGTTTTCTACTTTCCAAAAAACAGAGAACACACAGATATTTTGTGGATTGAAGCACATACTGAACCCAACTGAGAAGTGTTGCTTCATACCCTTCTTTGATAGATAATGAGTCTTGTGGATAAGGGAGAAGCGGTGGATGTGGTATACCTAGACTTTTATTAAGGCATTTGATATGGTCTCGCATAATATTCTTATCAATAAACTAGGCAAATACAACTTAGATGGGACTGCTATAAGGTGGGTGCATAACTGTCTGGATAACAGTACTCAGAGAGTAGTTATTAATGGTTCACAATCCTGCTGGAAAGGTATAACAAGTGGGGTTCTGCAGGGATCTGTTTTGGGGCAGGCTCTGTTCAATATCTTCATCAACGATTTAGATATTGTCATGGAAAGTACGCTTATTAAGTTTGCAGATGATACCAAGCTGGGAGGGGTTGCGACTGTTCTGGAGGATAGAGTCATAATTCAAAATGATCTGGACAAATTGGAGAAATGGTCTGAGGTAAACAGGATGAAGTTTAATAAAGACAAATGTAAAGTGTTCCACTTAGGAAGGAACAATAAGTTTCACACATACAGAATGGGAAGCGACTGTCTAGGAAGGAGTACGGCAGAAAGAGATCTAAGGGTTATAGTGGACCACAAGCTAACTATGAGTCAGCAGTGTGATGCTGTTGCAAAAAAAGCAAACATGATTCTGGGATGCATTAACAGGTGTGTTGTGAGCAAGACATAAGAAGTCATTCTTCCGCTCTTCTCTGCGCTGGTTAGGCCTCAGTTAGAGTATTGTGTCCAGTTCTGGGCACTGCATTTCAAGAAAGATGTGGAGAAATTGGAGAGGATCCAGAGAAGAACAACGAGAATGATTAAAGGTCTAGAGAACATGACCTATGAAGGAAGGCTGAAAGAATTGGGTTTGTTTAGTTTAGAAAAGAGAAGATTGAGGGGGGGACATGATAGCCGTTTTCAGGTATCTAAAAAGGTGTCATAAGAAGGAGGGAGAAAACTTGTTCATCTTGGCCTGTGAGGATAGAACAAGAAGCAATGGGCTTAAACTGCAGCAAGGAAGATTTAGGTTGGACTTTAAGAAAAAGTTCCTAACTGTCAGGGTAGTTAAACACTGGAATAAATTGCCCAGGGAGGTTGTGGAATACCCATCTCTGGAGATATTTAAGAGTAGGTTAGATAAATGTCAATCAGGGATGGTCTAGACAGTATTTGATCTTGCCATGGGGGTAAGGGACTGGACTCGATGACCTCTCGAGGTCCCTTCCATTCCTAGTATTCTATGTTTCTATGTAAGCTGTGATGCACATACACTCTTTAATAGGATGACTTTGTGTAATCCCTATATGATGCTCAGAAAAAAAAAAATTGTTCAATGACGTCAAAACAAAGGGAGCTTACATTTCAGAGATCTTGCCAAATTGGAAGAGTATATTGGACAGGTCAGTTTTTTCAGCAAGGAAGTTGATAGCTTTGCTATGGTCAGAATAAGAAAGAAAAGACACACAGAGTCCTGAATTGTGCCTCAATCTAGTTGTCAAAAAGGACAAGTTATTGACCAAACTCTCACCACGTGAGGATAGTTTTGAAGAGCTTGTCAAAAAAACATCTTGGCAAACAAAGATTTGATGTCTGCACATAAGTAACCAGATGGTGGATCACTGCAACATGGATGGAAAAACATGGATGATGAGTTCTTCCTGTATTCGTCATGGGTCTAATGGCATCTGAGCTTCTATAAGACCTTATTTTTACCAGTAGGGATCATTACACTGACAGCTGTCTACATGTAGCTATCATCTTCTCTGCATGGACCCATTTACATGCCAAAGCAGTAAAGACTATTGTAACCCATTCACTCTCAGCAGGGACCATAGTAATGAGGATGATAACTAAAAATGTCAGTAGTGTGATTACATTTCAATGTCATCTGTACAAATGTATTATTAGATTTTGTTTTAGCCTTTAGATTGTTTGTGATGCTTTCAGGTCACAAAGAAATTCAGTGTTACGTCTTGAAATAATACCTAGGGTCTTAAAAGTATTTTCAATCATTTTTATTGTTTAAAGTAACATGTTGCTGGTGTCATTGGTTATTTCTATTTCTGTGGTAATGGCACCACTTGACAATGCCAATCATACCTTATTTTAAAAATAGATATAATTAGGCTGGATATACATGCAAGTGGAGAGGGTCCATTGTTGACTGCATTGGTGGTATCTGCCACTAAATGTAAAATCTGTCATCTCAGAATTTAAAGTAGTAATGCATCTGCAATAACTCCCAAAATACTTGTATGTCTGTGGAGAATTACAGTTAATTGTAGGTATAGTTACTTTTTGTTGGTAGTGTAGGTTCAGCAATGTTTTTTATGAAAGAATAAAAAATTGTATCTGAAAAATGTAAAACAAACTGTTCTGCCGTTGTAGGAGAAAGAAATAGTGGGCTCTCTCAACTTCGTGATGTGATCCTCAATAGTTTAGCTGAACAGCTTCAGAACAACAGATTTGGAAGTGAAGATGATGATCATTACAGGTGAAGTGAAATAACACAATGGTTGCTCTCAGTTTGGTAAACTGAACTACTTGCTTCCTAAACAACTTGTTCCCTTTGTTACTGCACTTTGAGCTAATGCCAGTCTTGTGTACATACTGTACCTTTTTTTCAAGAGCACTGAATTCCTTTGGTGGTTTGAGAGACAATGAAATTTTTTGAAGTTTCTGTAGAACCACATACATGGTTTGGAGGAGATTGTCATGAATTGCCAGATAGTTAAATGAGAGCAGATGATGTTATATAATCTAACACTGCTCTCCATGTTACTGTGTTTTAAGTGTCACTCTTCAGAACTAAGACTATCATCCTGGAGAAGCTCTAATGTTTATTTAAAGATTGAAGTTCGGAATGGGTTTCTTTTTATTAAAAAAGAAGGCTTCACTTGATGTGGACTCTCTGGAGGTACAGTGAGCAAAATTAATGCAGAGTATACTGATATTTTAAACAAGCCAGAGTTATATCTATCTTCTATTATATTGTGGTAAGAGGCATATTTTTTCAAACATCTTTGCTATCAGAGTGCTTTGGTTAAGCCTATTTGTGCTTGAAAATCTCTGAAGCAGTCATTCAGTCAGTGTATCCTAATTTGTAATATGGTTTTTCAAGACTTTTTCAGGTGTCTTGAATGTGTCAATCATGAATTTTCTTTAATTATAAATCATGAACATCTCCTAATTTCTTTCCTGCATTTTTAAAGACTAAACGATGAGCTTTTGCACTACATTCTCAAGATTGTTGTTCGAGAATCTTGCATCTTAATCACCAAGTGCCAAACTGTATCTAAAGATGACTTTCAAAGACTTCTTTCAACCGTGCCTGTAAGTAAAATGTATTTTTTTAAAATACTCAATTTTCTCAAGTTTTCTTAAGTATAATGAATCCAATAATGTAGTCTTGAAAAATAGTATGTGAGGGGCGTTTTCAGAGTATGTTGTTGCAAAAATGAAATCCATTAATATTCCTGAATTAAAATGTTCATGAAGAGAAAGGGGGGCAGAGTTAAAGCAGGGAAAATTGATACATTTTCCCTAACACCTTGCAAGCATACTGTTTCAGTTTTAATATTTGCTTTCATACAGTTTATATTCAAAGTTTTACAGAGTGATTAACAAAATGGATTAGAATGTAGTGAAAGCTCTTTAGAGTTGTGCTTCGTTATGCATTCAAAGAGAGGGGAATACTGTGTGTTCTATGTTGGGAGATGGGTCAAGAGCTGAAACCATTAGGAGTGAAAATTCACATAGATATTCTTATCCAACAGTTAATGAGTAGGAGAACATGAGGTTGCAGCAGTGGGGGAGTAATAAGTGGGATGAGGTTTGGGGATCTGTTGTTTTGAGATTTACTATAGTACTTCAGTATGTTAGTAAAGTCCCTAATTCTCATTTCAGTCTCATTGACCTGCCCTCCTCGGATCTCACACCAAAGACTTTGCGTCTCCTTTCAGCAAAGATTTCATGGTTGAGCTCTGCAGTAAAGACACGTTAAGACTTCATTACTTTACCGTAGACACCACATAACATTTATACACATATACATTTAGTATTTAATTATAACTCATTTTTAAAAATAAATGTAGTGTTTTTGATGCTTCATTCTTTCTAAATTCTTCACACACTTATTAGTTTACAAAGTGTCCCATCTGCAATCATTATGAATTAGTGAGACTCTGCTGTTTCAAAAAGAACTATGTAATTCAGTGCCAATAATATGTTCACTAGAAGGAATTTTGTATCTTTCTTGTACTTTTTTCCCTTGCTTGTTTCCTTTTTTACACTTTAAAAAAACACAAGGATTGCCTGTGCCCAGTCTGATTTAAAGAGTTCAGATAATGTAAAATGTGCTTATTTATATTAAAGGCTGCATCTTCATGCTTGCGATATCTGATGGCGGTACAGAACCACCTTCTGAGTAATACTATTTTGATTAAACCTGATGAGAATGATGACAGTGACAGCTCCTTGCAGGGAGAGACATTGAAGGTACAGGTAAACACCGAGTTTTATTCTAGTACTGTTTTCTACGGCCAGTGTTCTGCTGACAGTTCTTGTGTTTCAGCAGTGTAACTTATTGATAGAATCTGTGTTGTCATTTTTTTTGTTGTGTTCAAGAAGCTATACAGTGGAAGTCAATACGGTCCCATACTTCAGCTAGAATCTGTGATTGTTCTTTGTATAGTTTCCTTTGGCACTGTTGTTGTTCTGGATTTTATGTATTTTCTTTCATTTCATATTTAGACTAGCTTTGGAATGCAATTTTAGCCAGCATCACGTCTTTAGAGATTTTTATTTGTGCTCCTATAACTTTTGACTTCACTCATAAAATTTTTGCTGGTTTTTAACTACAAAACTCATATGAGGGAATGGTCTTTCCCCCGGTCTCCAAAAGCATGACTTTGCTAATCTTCAGAACCTGCTTGTAGGCCCATCTTGTCTTTCCATGCCATAAAGGAACTGGGGAAAGGGAAATGTGAGATTAGAGGATTATGATGATTTCATTGATTTGATGTTTACATGAACACTATAGCTGGGGTAATGCTGTCAGTAAATAACTGTCAGTTTTGTCCCAAAGCTCAGGTTGTTTTTGTAATTGTTATTTCACTAATTGTATTGCCGATATCATTGGGCTATTTCTGTCTGCTGCTTTTTATAGGCATTTGTAAGCTTGTTATAGAATGCCATTTATGTTCAAGCTTGTTGAGTAATAAATGTTTCAATACTATTGTCTGTCTTTTTCTCTATTCACCCATGTTCTCATTGTTCAATTTCTTTCTACAGTTGTCATCATACCTTCTAGGACATTCTGTCACCATTGCAGTGCGTTGGCTGGCTATTTTCCTGTGCTGAACTGGGGACTTCTTCCTTCCCTAGAAACTGCATGTGCATCCTATGAAATGCACCCAGTTTTTACCAGCACTTTAGGCCTTAGTATTACAAATTAAGTCTTTGATGAATCCATAGGCATGCCAGGTCACATTGTCATTATTTAATTTGGAAACCCATAGTTTAGTTCAGTTGTCAGTTGTTTATTCTCTAGGAATGTAAGTATTATTGTATAACATTTTGTACCTAGGAGCTAAAGACCAGTATTTTGGCTCTTGCTACACAAATCCTGACTGGATGTGACGAAGTTTTAGAAATGCTGCAACAAGTCACTACAGCTCTTATAAACAGCGACATTTCTGACAGAGAGCAGAGGTAAGATGACCTGAATTCATACTTTTAGTCTGAAAAATATGAGCTGCTGCCCACTCTATGTACCACCTTGCTTAGTAAAGGGAAGGTAAAACTATCAGAATTCTTAACTTCCCTTTCTTTTTCTTTTTAATGTAATAAAGTATTGAAGAGCTAGGAACTATTTCTTAATATCAATTATCCTTTGGTATCCCTAAGGCAGTCTTCCTTTGAGAGCTTTGAATCAGGTTTTCCATAAATTGATTTTGGGCTTATTAATAAAATATACAGACGTACAGAAACTCTTCAAAATCACAAAATTTAGCTCTTTAGTTAGTCCAGTTACTTGGCTAAGTACCTTAAACATTATAATAAATGGAGACATTCTTATCCTCCAACACCCTTTGAGAATCAGTCTCATGAGAAATTCTGTAGGTTAGGGCAGGGCTACTCAAAATGTGGCCCGTGGCCTGCTTGTTTGCGGTCTGTGGTGTGTTTTGGGTTTGCGCAGGGCTCACTACGCAGCCCATAGGTGGGATCCTTTGAACATGGCCTCCACTGGGAACTTGCTCCATAACGGCAAGTCAGTATAATGGTCTTCTGTTGATATGCATTTTAGTAGTTCAATTCCAGGACTGTCATTGCTCATTAAAAGTGCTGTCATATGGATGGAAATCGGGTAGATATTGTATTTTATTAATATCAGCAGAACTGACTTAAATGAGGCCTCCATGTTGTGCAGTCTTGCCTTAATCTTTGTATTCATGCCCATCAGCATGAAAGAAGCTATTTGCACATATATTTGCATGTATATGCATCTACACTTAAGTTGCAGCCCTCGGCATGTGCTATGAGTATGATTGTGGTCCCTGCGGCTTCCAAAGTTGAGTAGCCCTGAATTAGGATCTTTATCTCCTGAAGATCTCCTTGACAGCAGTATTTTTTTCAGTCACATTCCTTGGTGATACTCTAATATCCATCATATATTATCAAAGCATCCCCTCTGCTTGCTTGCTTCAGGGAGTAAATGAAAACTGGGACTAGAAAACAAATATATTCCTCAATCTTATTGAGAATTTTAAAAATGTCTCCATTTTGAAAAAGAAAGAGTTAGGCCAAAAAAACTGAAATTTAAAATATCCAGAATAAAAAAGACTTTCTAGAAAAAGTCCTGTTTTAGATTCTAGGCTTTCAGGTATAGGCTTTCTGTTTCTACCCATTGGGTCTGTATCATGTTTTTGGAATATATTCCTTTTAGGGGGGAGGGGCAGGCTACTGTCTTGTCATATTTACAGGCTTGGTTTTTTTGTGGGTTTTTTGCTCATAGATAGTTTTGGAGACTTATGTCTTATAGTATTTTCTTATCGTAAGGAGTTGTGAACTGGAGCACGGTGTTTACTGTTGTGTTGGTACAATGCATAGCAGAATGGGGCCTTTATCCCCATCAGGGCCTCTGGGCAGTATAGTAAATTAACAATTTAATTATTGTTCAGCAAACAGACTTCTAGAAAAGACCGTGAATCTCATATGTTAGCAAAGATTGTGTGTTCTGTAGATATTAACATAGAAAGGTTTTTCTCAGAACACTTGCACATAAAAATGTACTGCTTGCTCTTGAATTATTTACTTATGCAGTCTAATTTTATATTAAACTAATTGCTTTAAATACAGATAGTAATGGCATTCTGTGAAAAGAATTGTTAGACATTTTGACTCTTGTTGCAGGTTAAAAGGCCTGGAACAAGTTACTAAGGCCACTATGCTTGGTCACCTGCTTCCAGTATTATTGACATCTCTGATGCATCCAAACTTACAGACGCTAACCATGGCCGATGCACTGATGCCTCAGCTGGTACAGCTGGTACTTTATACCAGTCAGGTATAGCCTTTACATTGTGGACTGAAGTATAGATTTTTAAAATAAAATTGGACATATTGATGTTCACCTTACCATTGGTATTCTCATGAAGAATACGAGGGTAAAATAACAAGACTAAAGAATAGTAATTACAGGAAACCCCTGAGATGCGACCACCCGAGTTCTGACCCCCCTGCACTTATAACCATTTTTGTAAGTGCGGAAGGGGCCGAAAACCTCCAACTTGCGTCCTCTGCCTGCATTTATGACGGCACACGATGCCTATTGTAAATGAGGGTTTGAGTTACGATGCCCCTAACTTGCGACTCTTCCCCAGGAACTGATCTCGTCACAAATTGGGGGCCACCTGTTGATGTTATCTCTGATCGCTCCGCAAAAGGAGCTATGCTGTTGATGGCGTTCTTCCATAATACCAATACTGATAAAAAATGTGTTATGAACTAATCACTTCTTATTGTTTTGAATCAAAGGGGTCCTTGTGCTATTCACGTACTACGAAACCAATTAAGGTCTAAGTTTTGAAAGGCTCAAGTCCTTACTTCTTCTAGCTCAGGGGTGGTCAAACCTGTGGCTCCTGACAGAACTGGGACAGAACCCGGAACCGCTCCGGACAGCTGCTCTCGTGG